CTAACAAGAATCAAAATCAAACATTCATTAAGCACAAAACTGAAATTACTAAATAGAATCACACTATGAAAACCAAATTTGATGTTTGATCAGATGAAAAGTACTAGTCTTTTATAGAACTAGAAACTAGGGTTTAGCCGGACATGGCTAAAATCTTATCTAAACTAATGAAAAGAGAAACTAAATAACTAATCTTACTAATCTAACCGATTGAGATGATTAACATCCTTCAAATCTTCAAAAAGTCATGAAAAGTGCAGAAAATTGCCTTCAGAATGGTTTTTGTCATTTGGGAACGTCTTTGATCGTCTCTGGGTTCGATTTGATATGTGAGGTCGATTTTATATGCAATATTGTAGCTTCCGGAGCAAGAAAAGGAAATATTCAGTCGAATTATTCAAAAACACGATCGAAGTTTTTAAAGTTTGATCGAATTTTTTAGTTTTGATTTTCGGGACTTTCTGAAAATACAAAGTGGTAACACGATCGAATTTATGGGAGAAATTTGATCGAACTTTTTATGTTTCTTCTTTTTTCACAAACACGAAAGTCGTCCAAAATTTTGTCTAGTTTCTGGCACATCTTGAATGTCGTGAATCGTAATTACGAGTCATGAGATATGGTCAAAATACTGACAAGGGGTCAAACTGCCAACAACATCCTTTAGGCTTAAAATGTAGCAATCTATCTTCGTCGGATCAATTCGATCGAATTTTTCTTGAAAAAAAAGCATCCAATCATTCCTCAAAATCCTTCATAAGTTCTAAGCTCCGCTTAGCTCCAATGCTCCATCAAACGCATCCAAAGTTGCTCCAAAACTACTACTCCACTCGAATTATCTGAAAAATAACATAAAAACATGAGCAGTACGGGAATTCTAACGAATGACATGAGCTGAACATTATTTAAGCTAATTCACATGAAATAACATAAAATATGATGCAAAATACTAATAAAAACTATCCTAAAAGATGCATAAAATGGTATCTATCACCCCGGCTCACTCTCAACTATACTCTAAAATTGACATGTCAGTTAACCACACGAGCACGATCAACAGAATATAAAGAGAATGTGCAATTTTCGTGGATTACATAAGATTCACATTTTCTTTAATAAAAACAGATTTTGTTTTATACTTTTATTGCCAATACTTTTAAGTTGACCATTATCAATACAAAACCCTTTCGGTAACTCCACTCTCAAAATCCAATAAGGTGGTGATGGAGTAAGTGTAAAGCGTATTAAAACCCGGCCCTATTAGGAATCATAAAGACCTCCTCAAGCCTCTAAATTAGAGTGAGTGTGCCTAGTCTTGGTAAGACTGACAATGTGAATATTTAGACATGCGAGGACGCATGTTTTAAAATTCTCATACACATAATAGATATTGTTCTAACATATATATAAAGGTTAAATTTAAAACTCTTTAAATTTAATTATTTATTATTAATTGTAATTAATTGCGAGGACACAATATAATAATTAATAATTCATGAAGAGTTAACATTCTAAATTATAAATCTCAATTATAAACAATATTACATATTTAATCACCATATAAATAATATTAAATATATATATTCAAATTCAAATACTCTTATTTAAATAATATTTATCCTATTATAGATTTAAAATAATTTAAATAATTAAATTACCCATATTTAAAAACCTTCTTATTTGGAATTCAAAAAGGAAACTAAAAACCCTAGTCCGGCAGACCGCGTCGCGACCGCGATTAGCATTATTTCTCAGTTTCGGCTTCTAATTTCAATTCCAAACAAGTTTTAACAATTCAAATGGATTAAAGGGTTCATGTAATTATGAACTACGACTCTTATACAAATGGTAGGTTTTCTATGCAGATAAACACTTTATCGTGACTGCGGAAACATAATGATATCCTATATGTTCATGCAACATAAGGATCTAAGTTTCATATTAATTGAATGAACTCAAAAGAGCATAATCAAAAATAACTAGGAGAGAGTCAGACTTATAGGAGTTCGTCCATTATAGAAGGGAGGGAGAAGATGGCGAAAATGTCAAGCCAATAAGCATGGAAGAATGAAATTCATATGACCCTATTTATAGTCTTAGATCTCTTCTTAGATTTTATCCTCCAACCATGTGAGATGGGATAGAGAAAATTAAAATCCTCCTTATCTCTAAGGAAATTTCATCCACCCCTTAGTCCCATATGGCTTCTTGAATATTCCTAATTAATCAACTATATCTTAATTAATATTCAACCCTATAATTAATTAAAATGTTAATTAACTCCCAAATTATTTTCTAATTAGTTCATAATTAATTATTAAACAATAATAATTAATAAATTAATTCCTCTTTATTTATTCTACTTAATTTGAGTCTTGATGGAAACCCAAGACGATCCTGTTATTATTAGAAATATCACCAATGATTAATGAATTTGTACACTCTTCTCAATAACTCAAACATTATATTGGTTTTATGTGAGAAATAGTCAAAGCATAGTTCCACTGGAAATATGTCTGAAGAAGTCCAAATAAATATCCTTTCAAAAGCGTTTCTAATTACAAACACAAATTTTTTTTTCAGAAATTGGTCATTAATTTCATCAAACAAATGCCGAATATGTTTATCCATGGATTATTCGTTCGAAATATGCCCGTAATTACCTTCGGTTTGGAAATTGTTGACGGAAATAAGCCCTTTTTCCATTATGTCCCATGTTTCAGGCGAATTGTTGATCGAACTAGCGTTTAAAAAAAGCTCTTTTAGATTTTAGCAAATTGAATTTATATACCCTTTAAAATAAACAACTTATATCCACACTTTTGGTAATTATCTTATATAATTAAATATAAATATATTTTAACAATTATGATATCTTTAGGTGAAACAAAATATATTTTATACGATTGAATATAAATATTATTTAACAATTATGATGTTTTATTTTAAGCAACCACATTAACAATTTTTTTTATTTTAATCTTCATAAACAAATAAATACTTATTATATGAATTTATAAATCAAAATTACGTTATGTTTGATGTAATAGTTGAAACGCTGGTTGTTAACATCTAGGGTTATATTTGGTGCGTCATAGCTAGCTTATTTCTGGAGTTTTTTTAAAAAGCTACTTAGTCTGTGTTTGACGTTATAACTAGCTTATTTTTTAGATTTCCAAATATACCATTAGTTGATTATAAATAACATAATTTTCTAAATGTCCTCTTATATCTTCCAACGAGATTATCAACTAGTTTTTACCAAACGTCATTTCTTTTATCAGCTAGCTTTTTAGCTAGTACATCAAAAATAGCCTATGTCGGCTTGTAGAAAAACAACGTTTCGTAAAAACTAACAGATAAGCTACATGGAAGATATAAAATAACATAAAATGTAATTTAGGATAATGAGTTTTCTGTAGTAATTAGGGGTATATTTGCAATATCTTAAAAAAATTTCTAAAATTGTCTATGTAGATTTTTAAAAAGCTAACTTATAAGATATTTTTTGGCATACCAAATATGACGTGTCAAACACAACCTTAACATCATAAAATAATATTTTTTTATAACGTCGAAACATTTGCAATATGTAAAAATGTTTGAATTGGATTCTCACACGAATAAAAATTCTTATACACTTTATCTGTAAAAAATCATCATTACTAATATGCATAAAAAAAAGTTTTTCCAAATTGAGAAGCTTAATTGGGATACTTGGTATTAAGATATGGATTATTTTTAATTTTTGATAATTATAGTTTAGAAAAATGAATTTATCATTATATTCTAATTTTACTTTATACCCATATGTCCTTTTATGTAATGTTAAATGTTTCAAAATTTTCAAGTTATTTGTGTCGAACATTTTTATAGAATTAAAAGATAGAGCTTTTAACTTCCAGTTACATTTGTCGACACTCTTAGTTTACACATGTCTCTTACACCCATGTGGCTTATTCCGGACTTGAAATTAAAAAAAAAAAACAATTAATTATCATTATATTCTTATTTTACTTTATACCCATATATCCTTTTATGTAATCTTAAATATTTCAAAATTTTCTAGCTATTTCTGTCAAACATTTTTATACAATTAAAAGCTACAGCTTCTAACTTTTAGCTACCACTAGTTACATTTGTCGAACACGCCATTGGTTTACACAAGTCTCTTACGCCCATGTGGCTTATTCCGGACTTCAAATATATATATATATATATATATATATATATATAATATATATATATATATATATATATATATATTTTTATGAATTGAAATGTTTTTGTTAAAATAAAACTGTTAAGAACATGGTTGTCAAAATCGCGATCTTGATCGTAGAATCGTACGATCCTATATATGAAAATTGATTCGGATCGTATTTGGGGTAAGATCGCAGGTAGGATCGTAAGATCATAGGTAGGATCGTAGGATCGAGATCTGATCCGATCATACCTTCCCTTGATTTTTTTTTTTTTTTCAAATAAATATTTTTACGACATTGTGGCTTTTACCCTTTATCAATTTACCGTTTATCATTTGGTGTTGTGACTTCTAACTAATATTTTGAAGTTTTTATAATTTTTGAACCAAAAATTGAATGTTTGAAATATTTTTCATGTTTTAAAATTATAAATTAAAACTATGTTTTATTTTGTGGGATCTTAGATCCCGATCCCGATCTTACAAACTCAAAAACGATCCTAAATAAAATCACGATCTTGACAACCTTGGTTTAGAATGTTAATTTAAACGTTTTTTTTTTAATTTAATGAGTATTGTTTAGTGGCGGCTTTGTAAACTATGGGATCAATTTATCGTAAGCATGTTATCCATTGGCCTCTAGATTCAAAGAAATACCAAGTCAACCTAGAAAAACCCCTATATTTTCTGGGGTACGTGTGTATTCCTAACAATTGTCAACATTGTTAGCCATTAGGTAGAAAACGGAATTCCATTATCTCGGAATGATTTGTATAAATGCACAAGCATTTTTTCTTATCGCATGGACGACTTTTCATAGTCAACCTATTTGAATTGTGTCTATAAAAAAGTCAGACAAATATGCAGACCATCAAGGATAAAATAACTGATCTAAACGCAACCCGTAAAGCCAGGTCTGAAGCTAAAAACGAGGAAAAGGTATAAACCCAATGTAATGAATTACATTGTATGCATTACATTACGTACAAACATTTCATATATGTAAATATTTCCCTTGGATTCATCTATATCATAGGATGATTCGGTATGATTCATCTACATGCTCTTAATTTATACATGTTTTTTTTGGATTCATCTATACCTTAGGATGATTAATTATGATTGTAGTTGAAAGATTTGTTTGACAATATCATCAATGCATATTGAGTTTTCTTTCAGGCTGAGAAAGAATTGGCAAAATCCAGGGCTGAGGTAGCTCATGAGATAAGGCTAGCAAAAGAAGCAGAAGCTTCAATGGAGGCGCATGTTAACAAGGCAGTTGAAAAGGCTGCCCAACACGACGCTAAACAACAAGGCCAACAGAGTAAGGATGTCCAAAACAGTCAGCAAGGTGCGGCAGATAGTGTTACTACCAATCCTTCTGGTGGAATGAAACAGTCAAATATACCAGGACATCTCTCCAAGTTTATGTAGGTTAAGTCAATCTTGTCTCCGGACAATGTTAGAATATACAACGGGGTTTTCTTTGGACTTTGTCTTTATTAATCTTGAATTTTTGTTCAACTTTGGGTTCCATTATTTTATTGCCCTTCCAGTTTGGTTGTACAGAAATTTTAAATAGTTGGAGTCCTTTCTAGTTTCTATGATCTGATCCCTCTTGGTTTTTATTTTTAAAGGGAAACTACGTTGGTGTATTTGGATCAACCATTTTAATATAGATAAACTTCCATGCGTATTTTAACATGCATGTTCACCAATGGCCGAACACGGGCAACAAATTTTAACAGTTTAATAAATCTCTATATAATTAAAAATGGTAGTAATAATAAAATGATTACAAAATATATAGTTGAATATATATGATAATATTTATAATTGGTTTTAAGAGTTTTTATATATTAGGGGAAAAAGTACATTACATTTTTTTTTAATTTCCTAACAAATTTACAACCTTAAAATGAAACACAAAAAATTGACAATCATAAAATTAGTGATTAAATCTTAGATGGTAATGAATATATACGATAACAACCAATATATATAAAAAAAAGTCATGAAATCAAATAAAAGCTAATAAATAGTTAAATAACAAAAGGAAGTTAGATTGGATTTTCGTGGGGTGAGTTCATTTACCTATTGGTGCCATTCACCTTTTATGGTATAATCAGGTATAATTCTGAATACTATTAGGGCATCCACAATGCATTGAACTCTATAGAGTTCAATGGATTGTCACATCATCTTTCTACAATCCATATAACTCTATTATTTTTTTCACTACAATGCATTGAACTTTACAAAGTTCAATAGATTGTAACAAAATGTAATTTATAGTAAATATTTAAGTATTAAAAACTTTTCTTTTTCTCATTAAAGAGTTCAATGGTCATTGAACTTCAAATTCACTGAATGTCAAGGTGGCATCTCATAATAGTAGAGTTTAACCCATTGAATGACGCATGGACCTACCACCTCATTCAACTCTCTCATTGAACTCACCATTTGGGATGCTCTTAGTACGAATGTTAGATTCAATAATGCATTTAGTGGTTTTTATGGAATAATGCGTGTAGTGGTTTTTAGGGAATACCTACGTAGAAAAAGTAGATTCATTATGGGTAACATTTTTTTTAATGTTACAAACACTATATTTTATATTTCATATAACATTTCTTTAATGTACTATATGTTATATTTAAGATTTAATTACATGATTAGAACTGTAAATTAATATTAAATCGTTATTATTATAAATGGAAATCTGCAAAAAAAATCCTCAAAAGTTTGGCTTATTTAACGCAAAACATATTATTTTTTTTCAATTAAGTCTAAAAAACCGAAAATTCTTAAAAAATAGTTGTTGTGCCCAATTAATAACGGTTTTCAGAGCCAAATCGTAAATAAACAGTCATATATAATTTTCTGGTTAATAAAGTTAAAATTTAAAAACTCTTCCTCAAATTTGTTTTTTTATATATACTAAATTAGTTCGAAGAAAACGCATACTTTTTTATTAAAAAAAATTCAAAATAAAGATATCATAAACATCATTTTCACTAAAAAAATTAAGCTCATTTATATTTATCGAAAATCACAACAAAAACTATATATATATATATATATATATATATATATATATATATATATATATAGGGCTAGGTTATAATGTGGATGAATAATTATTGTGCGGACGTGTGTACAGTGTTAGTCTATGAGAATTACTAAGAGAATGAGTTGTTTACTAATTTGACCACGTTCAATATTATACAAATATCGTTATTTTCATGCATTCTCACTAATTCTTATTCATTTTTGTTGCTACACATCGTTTTTCCCTCATTTTCTTTCTTACAGAATACGACTCAATAAACATTCTGACAGAATGAGAATAATAATAAAAAGTCTATAATAACTTTATAGACGATTTAATGAGTGAGAATGTGTGAGAATGACAATAATTATGTAAGATTGAACGTATTTATATTATTAAACAACATATTTTCTTTGTCATTCTCACATAATAACATTGTCCACACGTCCGCACAATAGATGTCAATCCACATTTGAACCTAGTTCTATATATATATATATATATATATATATATATATATATATATATATATTATTATATATATGTATATCATTTTTGAAATTTATTTGCGATTCTCGTTAGAGTTTCTTTGCAACTAAAATCATAACTATACCATTTTTTCTTGCGTTTTTGTAACTATTGTAACTTTTATAATATTCTTTGACTATAATCAACTATGTTGACATTTAAGCTTTATGTTGTAGAAAAATTTGAATTATTTTGATAACTTCTAAAAAAAAAGTAGAAAATCCTTTTATTGAAATTCTTTACACCTAAGACATTTATATTTTACACCGAAGGTCTGAATAGTCAAAAATAAATGTAGCATTTGACATAGAAGCAGGCTCTATACGACAAATCAATAAAGTTATATTAACTTATATTAGATATAAGTTATATTTTTATATTTGTATTTATCATATATAATTTAAGAGAACTTTTATGGTTTACCACGTGTAGCTTGTTTCTAAGCAACATGCTACCTTCATTCTTATTGGGTGTAAAAATGAAATGAATTAGAGATAAAGAATTACAATAAAGGGAATTTTTTTTATGTGAACAAATTTAGTTCAAGCTGTTTTACAACATATAACTTAAATGTCAATATGGTTTAATAGTTGTAAAAATCGTTATAAGAGAATTACAATAACTATAAAAACACATCCTAAATATGATATATAGTGACGATTTTAGTTGCAAAGAAGTTTTGAAGATAATCACAAAAAAAATCCCCAAAAATGATATCTATAAATTATCGTTATCTAGTTTTTTAATAAATAAAAATGAATTTTTTACTTAAAAGAATGCAAATTGTATCTTTATTTGAGTTTTTGAATAAATAACTATGAGTTTTCGTTAAATTAATTTAGTATATATAAAAAATCATTAGAAAAGTCCATAAACTTTAACATTAATAGTGGAAAAGGCATCCTGATTGTTTATTTACAATTTGCCCTAAAAACTGATATTAACCAGATACAATGGTAATTTTGCTAGTGTTTATTGATTTGTTGAGCTTAATTCCAAAAAATAAAAAAATAAATAAATCATTTTTTATTTTTGCGTTAATAGAGCCAAACTTCAGAGACTTCTTTTTGCACATTTCCCTAAAATAAAAAATAAATAGGAATTATGTAAATAATATTAAGAATTAAATGTTTATATGTGGTAAATAAAAAATCAAATTACTATTATTAAATTACCACATTTCTACAAAAATTAAATTGGTCATTTGCGATCAAAACCAATAATAAAAAAAATTAAAAGCAGATAACCCTATTAAAATGTGAAATGAAAGACGTAAAAAGTAAAGTAAAACCAACTTGAAGATCACAAAAAATTTGATATGTAAAGTGAATTGAAAAACTCTTTTCTTTTACGAGTTTAACGTCACTCGATAGCTGATAGCAGCTCATAGGGCCACGTAAGGAGGCGATGCCTCAGAACCTATGTTGGAGACTAGGCGGAAGCGATCTCATCCCATCCCAAAGGCCAACAACCGGAGAAGGAGCTTTCAAGCTCACCTTCCATCTCGGAAGCCAACAACCACACATGAAGCGTTCCATCTCCCATTCCAGCCCAACAACTGGCGGGAAAGCCTCCTAACAACAAAACAGTGTGACCTGACAACCTTAGTGGTGCACATATCACTGCCAATCTCATGCCTAAGCCAATCACATGCCAAGGAAAAGAGTGGAAGGCATCTCCTCCAATGAATGCTAAAGTCTTGTATCCGGACTGGCGCTCTTGTCCCCCAAAAGTGGAGTCACTGCATTGACCTTACAATATAAGGCTAAAAACCATGCTCTCAACAATTAGTTCCCTCTTTGTATCTTACTCTCAACACTCCATTAAAACGCATACTAACTTGACCGTCGGAGCATCCTACCGGGATCTCCTCCCGGAGTACAACTGACGAGTGTTTCTTCTTGTGTTCTAGGGATCGATCGCAGGTGGTAACCCCATCAGATAAGCCTCAGGCTACCACTTCACATCATGTGCGCCATCCGTCATTATGACAACCAAAACTGAAATCTACCAAACAATCATAGGAAACAATAGCGACAGAAGAAACAACAGGGTCATCTAAACCCCAAAGTCTAATAGGCCTTGTGGCATCGCCACCACCAAGCGTCGCCGCCAATATACCACACACATTGCAGCCAATGGTTGTGTTATCATCCCCAATTACACCAATCACCCAACCTTGGATACAACCATTTACATCGATGAACATCCGACCATTCCAACTCATATGGCCATATGTTAACGGAGCACAAACACAAAATTCATTCCAACTCATACGACCGTATGTTAACGCAACACAAAAAAAATCATGTTCGAACACTGTTTCCAACAACTACCATACACTTGGAAAAAAGGACTCAAACTAGCACCAGGAAGGTTGATAGAATTCGCAGTGCACAACATCTGGCCAATCGGTATTCTCCATTTAACATGCATTATAGGGGATGAACGGAGTGTTAGGGAGAACACAAGCATTTTGGAATTCATGATTGTCAAGACACCAAAAGAACACAACATAATACTCGGATAGGGAGTTACATTACAATTCAAAGCAATCATATCAACGATCCATTACCTAATAAAATTTCGTACAAACGAAGGAATCCCCACCATACTTGTAAAAGCACCACAAAGAAAATAATGTAACTAGGTGCTCAAGCCAGAAGAGTTCACCAAGGGGTAGAAGCGCCTAAGAGAAGACGAACCGAAAAACAAGGAAGTAATCCACAAGAAGTTCCTTGAGCAAACATTATGCATTAGAAAAACTTTGGAAGAAACGGCTAGAATAAACCTCGTGGCATTGTTGAAAGAATATAAACACATCTTCACATGGAAACCAAAAGACATGGTTGGATTGACATAGTGATAATCGAACAAGGTATCAACATCTCACCTGGCAGC